AAACATGAGCCCGGGAGAGTGAGATTGGCACAAGAGCTTGGGCTCTCAGAGGGAGGGTAACAGAGGGTCTTTTCCCTCGAGGACTTGCCTTAGGATAACATGTTTCTTTTTGATCTCCAGCTCTTTTGTGTGATACTGTACAGTACTGCCTGGAGTTGAGATGATTTCAGTTCTGCATGACTCCTGGTTTCCCTGCTGACTAAGCTAAAGATTTGACACGCATAAGTGTTTTTGTTTTGTGAACTGCCATAGTTAGTCGAGGTATGGATAACAACAGCGCATTATATTAGATGTAGTTTAGCTTAAATGTTTGTTGAGTTTTAAAGTTCTTTTCTTGGAAAGTTTCTAGCTGGATATTATCTTTTCTTTATTTATTTGATTGTAGATTTAGTAACTTGAAAAGTCTTGCCTAAGTTACAGTAAATGTGTCAACTCAAGTCAGATTTCTTCTTATTTACAAACTTATTATCCTGTAATTTTTATTCTGGATTGGCTTTGACAGTGGTGGAAAATTTCCACAAATGTGTCACACTTAATTTCTCCATTATTTTATGTGCCATTTCCACAACGTCAGGCATGAATAGCTCTTAATGCTTGGTGAATTGCGTAATTGAATTGACCTCAAACAGATTTGTTTGTTCCCTGTGTGAGTTGAATCGCTGCTTTTTTTTCCCTCTCACCCACTTGTAAGAACAACTGAGCACACTTTCCCAGAGTCCCACTCCCTGAGCTCATCAAAAAGCCCGTTGTTCATGTCTGTTTCAAGTTCGTGATTAAAATAAGTCTTTGAAAAAACATCTCAGCGCCGCTACATTGTTTTAGTGTTGTTATTCGTGGTTTCGAAAAACGAATATGACAAAGCGAGCCCCCAGAGATGCAATATACAGCCTCAAACCCGAGACGTTTTCATACAGCAAGGTTTCATTTATATTAATGCATCCCCAGCTATTGGTATTCATGGAAGTTGTGGCGTCTTTGTGCTTACACATATTTTTAGGAGTGAGAGGAAGAGGGAAAAGAGTGAAATTTAAATGCAATGAAAGAGCAGAGGATGCAGTACTAAAGTTTTGTATCTAACAAATTCACTTTGATGGTATACAGTTTATGTGCACTGCACCAAAGATCAGAGAGGACCTTTGGAAGCACGTGGAACGCCATTCGGCATCAAAGACCTTCCATAGGGAGTGAACGCAGATGATGGAGGCTTTTATTGCCACGATGTCTGCAGAAATTTCTCACCGTCAGCACATCATGTCTGTCGTGCTACTTGGACATTTCACATCCCCCTTTGGGATGAGCCTTGGAATAGGACCACAGGCCTTTTCCTGCTAAATTTATGGAAATGTACAAGGCGTGAGCTTAAATTGTTATTTGGTTGCTCTAAAAGCAGCCAGGGCCCTTGGCTATTTTGATACAGTTCATTTTATGCCTGTCAAAGACTGTAATTGGACGACCCTATTTGCTGTCAGTATCCCCCTTTTGAAGTGAATAGAAAGCTGGAAGTGATGTGCACCACTTTGGACTGCTTTCTCAAAACAATTTCTCATCCTTTTTTTGTCGGCCTTCTCCCTCAATAGTCTCTCAAAATGCTTTTATTTCCTTCAGAGTTTATTTTTGGTTGTTATTCTGTGCTACCATTTGTGGTGCCAGAGGGAAACAGGATATCTTGTGAGGGATGTTTACTGTAATCTTTCGTTGTCTCTTTTTTTTGCCCCTTTTCCTCTTATACTTCTGATTTAATAGTTGCTGATGTGGGTACAAGCATATACTTTTTCATAGGGGCTGGAGCTGGTGTATATTCTGAAAGCACCTTGAGCCAGTGCCCAGATCCTTATTCTGGATGAGCCCCAAAACCATGCTAGTCGTCACTTTCAAAAGTGAGTGACATGGTGGCCAAGCATGGTAATTCATACACAGAATTTGAGCTTTCCATTAACCCAGGGGTGTCAAACTCAGCTCCTCGAGGGCCACAGCCCTGCAGAGTTTAGTTCCAATCCTGCTTTAAAAGACTTTGCTGCAGGTTTTAAACAAGCCTGAAGAACTCAATTAGTTTGATCAGGTGTGTTTAATTAGGGTTAAAGCAAAACTGTGCAGAGCTAGGGAGTCTGACACCCCTGCATTAACCCATCAGAAAATGCACACACCCAACACACTGGGCAACCATTCACTGCAGCAACTGAGGGAGTAATTAGGAGGTAGTTACTGTATCCTGCACCTCAGTTGTGGTTTTGAAGGTAGAGGAGAGTGCTGTTGGTTCACTTAACTCTCGCCCTAACTCCTGCTGCTGGAACCTGAACCTGCAAACTGAGTAATAGGCCTGACTTTCTCAGCATTAATGCTGATTTATACTTGTGTGTGGTTTGCACCTTCACCTGTCGCTGCCGACAATGCCTACTGAAGCGAACTTTTCAAAAAATGTAACTACAAGTTGCAACGACAAATAGCACAAGCTCTGTGATAGGTCGGCGTAGTAATGGTGATGAGTGTGGGCAGTGCTGAGAGCCGTGAGCCCAATGTGTATAAGTGTCAGGTAGTGATAGGTCGTTCATGAACGATTCAATTATTTTGAACGAATCTTCAGTATGACTCGGGAACTACGAGTCCTCTCAGGGAGTGATTCGTTCATCCGCGCGTGCGCTCATTTGTGCAGGTATCGTTAAATTCAATTCTTCATCACATTGGCAGAAGCCAATGATATGCATTTAGAGCCGGAAAAAGAATTGATCCGCTCACCTCTCGAGTTCTCTATTGGGTCTGAGTCACTCGTTCATCACGAGCCAATCATACGCGTTTAGAGCTGGAAAAAGTTTTGATCTGTTCATCTCTCGAGTCCTCTATCGGGTCTGAGTCATTCGTTCCTCATGGGCTAATCATACACTTTTAGAGCCGGAAAAAGAATTGAACCGTTCATCTCTCGAGTCCTCTATCGGGTCTAAGTCACTTGTTCCTCACGGGCCAATCATACGTGTTTCGAGCTGGAAAAAGAATTGACTGTAGATGTGTTTGGAAGCAATTTGTAACATTTTGATAATATTTTGGCAAATTGAACCAAATGAACAAAATGACTCGAAAAAAGATTCGTTCATCTTGATGAATGAGACTCAAAGATCCGAGTCAGTAAAATGAACCGAATTCCTATCAGTAGTGTCAAGTACCATAAAAGTTGTTTTGTGTTTCCCTTATGATTAAAATCGTTGCACTTCCACCGGTTCTCGCGTTCTGAATGAGCAAGTTTTAGCTTCTTGTACATTAAGGTAGCATTTAGAGAAAAAAAAGCATCCGTGAAGAAATTTGACAAAGAGGAACATAAAAACCTACTGCCAGCTAGTGTTTCAGAATTTTATTGCAGTGCAACACAAACAGCATGCAAAAGTATAAATGCAGGACTATGTGCAAGGCAAATGCCATGGGTCATGGCAAATACACTATGCCAGTGGTTCTCGAATTTTTTTCATTAAGTACCACCCCAGAAAAAAATTGTCTCCCCAAGTACCACCAAAATGAGCAGTATTGAAATAAAGTAGCGTATAGGCCCAGTAAAGCAGCTACAACTCTGCACAGTTAAAAAAAACGTGGCAGATTACCTCAGAAATACAGGCTATATGTCATATATGGCATATTATATACATAATTTTTGCTAAATTTTGAAATATGTAGCATATACATGACATATTTTATTCCTCCGCGTACCACTAGAAGGAAGCCTGCGTACCACTAGTGGTACACGTACCACAGTTTGAGAACCACTGCTCTATGCAAAAGTATAAAACCAGCCTTTAGGCCAACTGCCCTGCATGAAAGCACTCATTCTGAGCACCAGCTATGGCACTGGCCTCATTGGAAAAGCTGTTCACAGTTTTTTATTTAATTTTACTTGAGTCAAAGGCTGTAATTAGGAATGACCCTGCATTTCTATCAGTATCGTCTTTGTAAAGTGACAAAAAAGTTAGAGTGTCTACATTCTCAAAATAATTATTTTGGTGGAAATGTGGAACAAGACTTTGCTTTTCAACTTTGAGCCAGTGCCCAGGTCCTTGTAATTGCATTTAAATTTACATGTAGACTTAGCAAACAGCAATAGACTGTCCAAGGATTTACAATTAACAATCCCTGTTGGTATCAGGACTTGAACCTGTGATCTTTAGATCACAAGTCTAACTCTATAAGCAATAGGTCACATGTCCTCTCTTTTTTTCTGGAAGAGCTCCAAACCTTCTAGGTCTTGGTCAAGGAAACCTTTGAAATCAGTAGGAGGAACTACCACTACAAACCACTGTAAAAAAAAAAAATAAAAATAATAATAATAATAATATATATATATATATATATATATATATATATATATATATATATATATATATATATATATATATATATATATATATGGTAGTGTTGTAGGTTCCTCTCTCTTTCAATGAGGCACAAGCCTATTCTGAGTGAGTACAAATTTTCGGCTTATTGGCTCCAGCTCTGGCACCACCCCCTATGGAGAAGCTATGTCCATTGGAACTGGTGACAGTACCCTATATAGTACCCTATATAGAACTAGGCTGCAAGGAAATATTGGCAAAGGACCACAAGCCAGGAATGGCACTATAGTCATATGCAGTAATAGTGTTGGCGCAATCTCACAATCAACACAATCTCATAGCAATTCGTAATTTGTTGATTTACTGGCCAATTCATATTTATTTGTACGATCTCATTTGTACATTCTAGTACAATTTTCTCAACCCTCAATGAGCAGTAGGGTTAGGGGTCTATGCCTTCTTTTGAAAAACATAACTTTTTGTATGAATAAAATCATCTGAATTTGTACGAATTAGCCTCTTTTCTGTAAATACGTGAAACAGTTATGTTTTCTGAGATCAGGTTTGTCAACATGTAACCACAAGGCTCTTGCCTCTGACTTCAGTAAAACTTCTAAAATAAATCCACCCTAGATGAGCACTAATCCTGGTAGAAAAGCAATATAACAATGAGCCAATTATGTTTTCTAGGATTTAGACTCCAGCTCTGAGGTCGATGAAAGCTCAGACGATGACAGCATTCTGGAAGGTGAATCGAACTACAAGCTGAATGACCACAGAAATTCTGCATCACCGTCCATTCGAGAAAACCACTTCAAGACAAACGACTTCCATAAACACTATTTTGGCTGCTCGAGGAAAGGACAAGAAGGCCAGTCCAGCATGGTGGATCGTCTTCTAGAGAAGTATGGAACATCCATTCCCAACCATGATCCACGTCTCTATGCGGCCACCGCAGCTGATACCAAGTCAATTGCTGGATACTCTATCCTAGCCTTTCCTGACTTTTGGGGTCACTTGCCTCCACAAGAGCAAGAACCCATGGCTAAAAGACCACCACATGTGCAAAGGTGAGTAGACAAATCTTTATCACAACTGTCTATACTAAATGCTATCTGTATTATTTTGTCCAATTTTTCCTTCAAAACAATAGAAAATTAAAATTGTACTTGATGATTCATGCTAATAATAATAGTTATACAACAATTCATGCTATTTGATGTTAACAACTTACTAGCAACATGCTAATGTTAGCTAAAACTTGTTAGCAACATACTGAATCACGCTATTTACATTTTAAACATGCTAGCAATGCTGTATATTAATGTGCTAACAACAATAAAATAAACCACTATAATTTAAACCTGCTACTTATGCTATTTTCATGCTAATAATTATACAATTCATGCTAATGACATGCTAATTCATGTTCACAACAAATATGCTAATGTTAGCTAAAACTTGTTAGCAACATACTACACCTTGCTATCTACATTTAAAACACGCTAAAACATTATTAACATGCTAACAACATGTTTAAACATGTTAGTGATACTATATGTTAATGTAATAACATTTGAACACACCAATGTATTCAAAACATGCTAGCTACTTGTGCTATCATCATGCTAATTATTTTACAACAATACATGTTATTGGCATGTTAATTCATGTTCACAAATTACTAGAAAAAATGACAATGTTAGCTAAAACTTAGCAACATACTGAATAATGCTATCTACATTCTAAACATAATAAAAACATTATGAACATGCTAACAACATGTTTAAACATGCTACTAATACTATTTGTTAATGTGCTGACAAAATTAAAGTAAACCACTTTAATTAAAATATGCCAGGTAATTGTGCTATTATCATGCTTATAATTATACAATTCATGCTAATGAAATGCTAATTCATGTTCAAAACTTGCTAGCAACATGTTATTGCTAGCTAAAAAGCATTAAAAACATACTGAATCATGGTATTTACATTTTACATGCTAAGAACAATTTAAACATGCTAACAACATGTTTAAAAATGCTAACAATACTGTATGTTAATGTGCTATTAACATTAAATCACAACACTATAATTCAAACATGCTAGCTACTTGTGCTATTATTATGCTGATAATTATACAATTAATGCTAATGGAATGGTAATTTATGTTCACAACTTACTAGCAACGCGAATGTTAGCTAAAACTTGTTAGCAACAAACTAAATCATGCTATCTATGTTTCAATTAAGCTAAGAGCAATTTAAACATGTTGACATGTTTAAATGTGCTAGTAATGCTATATGTTAATGTTCTAACAACATTTTAAACATGCCAAAAACATGTTTAAACATGCATGTAATGCTGTATTTTAATGTGCTAACAACATTAAAACAAACCACTATAATTCAAACATGCTAGCTACTTTTGCTATTATCATTCTATTAATTATACAGCAATTCATGCTAATGGCATGCTAATTTTTTTACAACTTACTATCAACATGCTATTGTTAGCTAAAACTTGTTAGCAACATACTGAACCATGCAATCTACATTTTAAACACATTATGAAAATTTTAAAGAAGCTAACAACATGCTTAAACATGCTAGTAATACTATATGTTAACATTAAAACACACCACCATAATTAAAACATGCTAGCTACTTGTGATATTATCCTGCTGATAATTGTACAACAACTCGTGCTAATGGAATGCTAATTCATGTTCACAACTTACTAGCAACATGCTAATGTTAGCTGAAACATTATAAACATGCCAAGAACATTATAAAAATGCTAACAACATGTTTAAACATGCTAGTAATACTGTATGTTAATGTTCTAACAACATTAAACCACACCACTATAAATAAAACATGCTAGCTATTTGTGCTACTTGTGCTATCATCATGCTAATAATTATACAACAATTCATGCTAATGGTATGCTTATTCATGTTCACAACTTACAAACAACATGCTAATGTAAGTTAAAATCTGTTAGCAACATACATCATGCTATTCACATTTTAAACATTTTAAACATGCTAACAACATGTTTAAACATGCTAGTAATACTGTATGTTAATGTTCTAACAACATTAAAACATACCATGGTAATTAAAAGATGTTAGCTACTTGCAAAAAAAAGCTGTGGACTTAACGCCCCCAAATTACATCACATTGATTCAGTCTCAGAATTCACAAATTACTAATTGTTAATATTATTATTATTATTTTATTATTATTATTATTATTATTATTATTATTATTATTATTGTTGTTGTTTTATTATTATTATTTAGTGGCATTTTATTTTTGTCTAGCAGTATTTACCCTGCTGTTTGTGAAGCAATCAAAAGCATTTCACTGCATCATTCTTATAATCAAATCTGAACGCCGTGTTGCAAAAACAATCCTTATTGAACATCAAGCAGCTCTCCGCTCACTTGTGATCATGTTTAATATTGGGTATTAAGGGATTTAAAGAGACAGACACTTTGAGAGACATCTGGGGAACGGCGGAGGGGAATTACTCTAGAGTTTTGTTGCTCGTAAAAACTGTGCCATTATAGACTATGACAAGCATCCCTGAAAAAAACATCAGAAAGCCGTTTGATTCCATAAAGACACTTTTACGAAACCTCCCAGAAGATGCCTTAATTCATATTTTACTTTCTGTCTTGAGTTTTTTGCATGAACTCTATTCCAAATAGCAGCAATTTCCAAGCTTTTTACTTGCTTCTGTTATGTTTGCTTGCTGCGATTGCTAGAAGAACAATGCAAATATTAGACTTCATTTATAAGCTGATTTGTCTCTAAATCAGAATACATGGATGCAATTTAAGACTTATTTTCCATCGTTACTTATACATTGCCGTATGCAAATGATTGTAAACATCGGCACCAACTCATTAAACTCACTGTAAGTAGAAATGAAATCCATTAAAATATTCCTCTCTTACTTAAACTCTTTTGCCTTAAGTGAGTCTTTCTGCTCTCGCTGGCTGCTTTTTTTTCTCTCTCTCTTTTCAGTACGCATACCGAAAGACTCTTTTCTAGTGAGGAAAAGCCCTTAAATCTATATCTAATTATGGTAGCCCCCTTCGGAAAACTTGTTTTTGCTAAAAACTTTCTTCAATGTGCAAGGGAGAGATTAAAGGAAATAGACATTTATTTCAGACATTTCTGTACTTTATTGTGTTTCCTCACGGGCAAGATAAGTTTATATGGCTTCTACTGGTGTCATTTCAGTACAAAGTTACTTTTGTTTTTTTATATTTTCAAAGAAAGTGTCACATTTAGAAAGAACCTAACACCACATATGACTTTATCTTCACAATTGACAGTTGATAAACTTGATTTGCAGTTAAATTGACATCCTAAAATGCTATATGTTAGCCATTTAATCTTCAAAATATGTCTGAGACATCATTTTGATAGTATTTGCAAGAAAATGGATCGTTACAATGTTTATCTTATAGACCTACACTGCACCCTTTTGACATTAATAAAGGACAGCAGCCATTTTAGATTTCGTTTAATAGTGTTTTTGCTAAATGTGCTAGTGCTACATGTTACCTCCTATCTGCTACCTACTTGATACCTGCTACATGCTAGTCACTTGCCTAATGTGTTAGAGATGAAATATAACATGACATCACTAACACGCTTTAATAAACTGCTAAGATAATTGCTAAAGTTGGGCTAAACCATGCTATAAACATGTTGAATTATGTTAGCTGTTTGCTAAAGGATGTTAGTGACATCTTCAATGATGTTAGCAACTACTACTTGCTTGGTTATTTAAGCAACTCCTTTAAACATGCTTACATGTTTTTCTGATGCTTTACATGTATGCTTTGCTAGCTTGCTACATAAAAGTACATTCTAGCAATGTATGAACATGCTAGTAATGGTAAAAGATGTTAGTGATGTGTTAAATCATGCTTGGAACATGCCAGCAACTTCTGTTTAGCCGTAAACTCTTGCCTTTTGCATAAAATCTTATTTGTTGTTCCAGTTATTTTCACTAGACATCATTTTTACATAATAAAATAGCATTATTTTCAGTTAAATATGAAAGACATAATTACAGTTTTACTACAAATTTGTTTCCTATTTTTGCCTATTAAGTTTGAAACATTTGCAGTTTATTCAAATTATTCAAATGCTTTAAAAATAAGTAAATAAAAAAATAAAAATAAATATTTTTAGTCAGTTTGACTGATGTAAGTTGACATGACTGTAGAAGTTATTTTGAGTCAATAAAAAAAAAAAAATAGCAGCAATATATATTTTTTTCTTTTACAGTTTATGCCTATTAAAGGGCCATAACCCCACCCCACTCCCCCTTTCCCTCTTTCGGTTCAAGTTTACCTCAGAAATTTTTCAAAAAATGCTCAGAAATGGGAGTGGAGTGCTGTGAGCAGAGGGATAAGTGGGCATGGCCTGCAGGTAAAAAGAGGAGAGCGGACAGCTGTTGTCAGTTGGCTCACAAAATGAGACAAACTGTGAGGAGACACACGAATTTATAGTTTACAAAGTTAATATGCTAATAAATAAACAGCAAGTAGTTTAATTTAACTGATTTATTTGTAATTTTATAAAAACATTACCACAATTTCTTATATCATTATAAAGATTATCGTGTTTATATAAACATTATAAATGATGAGGACTTCTCTCCTCCTCAATGCCTGGGTCTGAATGCAGGCACAGTGGATAGCAGCACAGCAGGTCTATTGCTCTATCTATTCCAACCATTAGCCCTGCCGTTAATCTGGAGGATTTTAAACATATGTGAACACAGCAGCATGGGTATAGGCGATGTGTCTGAATGGTGACAAATTTAACTGATAAAAGACAAAATCCGCCATTCTCTGATTCTCATACAGCTCTCCTGACAAAAATGCTTGCTGCAAACCAACAGCTTTGCTGTATTGGCCTTGACAATATTGCAGGGAAAAACATGCTACAGACCCTGTGGCTCATGGAAACAAACACATACGCCCCTTGCCATCTGCTGACGCGGTCTCACACAGTCATTGGGTCTCTCAGCTTGGCAGGTCTGCCTTGCCTTCGGAAAGCACATGCTCTTCTGAATAATTAAGAAGCCGGCTCTTTTCATAGGTTAAAAAAAAAAACTCCTCTATGAATAATAATGAGAAACCTACGTGTCATCACTTCACTAGCAGGTTCGTGCTGTGTCACCAATTTTGTTCCTGCCCCAAAAATTAGTTTAAACTCGGAAGATGAAATTAGCTGACAAAAGCTGTAAATGATCCAGTTTTCACTACGGTTGACAGGTGCTAACGTTGTCTTGATCTAACTGATGCTCAACAAACACAAATCTGATAAAAAAAAAAAAAAATCTTTAAAAAGAACTCAAGGGTGTCTTGAACATTTAAAGGATAGAGAGCATGTTTATGTCCTGTTTTATAGCTCATTCCATGAAATCAACATCTTGATGAGAGTGTTGTGTGTTTATTGTTGGCCACAATGGACTGTAAACTTTATTTTGGGTTTATTCATTCAATCTCATTATCACCTGAAATTTGCTCTCAGAATTGGATTGTCCACATATTTTATTATACATTTATTATTTTTTTGCATTTTCCTTTTTCACATTAGGATAAATGCCTTATAATGTTGTTGTTTCATTGCGACAAAGAACCTAGAAAATTAGCTAGTTAGCATCATACAGGGCAAAAAGATGAAGCACTATAGGTTTGGTTTGGAAAAGGCATCATGGAAACAGCATCGAGAGTGATGACTGCATATTATTATTATTATTTTATCAGACTGTTTCATACATGTAAAAGTAATAGCTGAGAGATTTGCTCAAAATGAAATCTCATTATTTACTCACAGGCTTTTCTGTATTCTATATTTTAGAAGAATGTTCTGGCTAATCTTACTGACACAATGAGTAACCCCTGCTGAAATGAAATATTTCACCCTAAAAATGAATAATTTCAGTGGTTACAAACTTTAAAACTGCTACAGTAAAAATAAATAACCTGGTTAACAGTACTCCCCCTAATGATGTGTAGTGTTAGTACTTTCAAACACGTGTGTGAAATACTATAAATTAATGATATACAGTAGTTTATTGTAAATTTTAGAAAATTATAATTATACAGTTTTTGCCATATTTCAATGGTAAAATATTGGCAACCACATAGTTTTATTTTATTTTTTTTATGTATTACATTTTATGGATTGTTTGACTCCAAAAAAAGTCATATTATATTATATTATATTATATTATATTATATTATATTATATTATATTATATTATATTATATTATATTATATTATATTATATTATTATTTTGCATTTCAGAAAGAAAGTTTTTGAAGACCTCAAGCGTGTCATTTGTCCTGAGGACATGATCAACAAGGTTGTTTTTGACATGGATGAACCCAGGTAAGCTTTTCTTCGTTTCGGCTAAAGCATTTTTTTCATTAGATCCTCGAATCAGTCGCATGGGAAACATTTCGATTGTTAATAATTTATAATTAATAAAAGAAATTAAGCCCATTAAGTGCCTTTAATGCGTCATAATGGATCTTTCACAGGGACACGCTGAATTGACACTATGTCGGCAACCAGAACATGAAAGATCTTTTTTTTATTATTGCAACAATCACAGAATATTGATACATTAAAAATTATTAATAAAAATAAAATATATTTAACTAAAATATATATTATTGGCCATATGAAGGTTGATTTTTTATTTTAAAAAGTGTATTTTACTCACAGTTGATATACAGTTGAAATTGAATGATGCTATCAGAGCAAGGAAATTTTCACAGTATGTTTGATAATATTTTTTCTTCTGGAGAAAGCCTTATTTGTTTTAATTCGGCTGGAGTAAAAACAGTTTTAGTTTTTTTTTTTTAAACCATTTTAGAAACAAAATTATTAGCTCCTTTTACCTTTTTTCGATAGTCTACAGAACAAACCATCATTATACAATGACCTGCCTTATTACCCTAACCTGCCAAGTTAGGCTAATTCACCTAGTAAAGCCTTTAAATGTCACTTTAAGCTGTATAAAAGTGTCTTAAAATATCTAATAAAATATTATTTACTGTCATCATGGCAAAGATAAAATAAATCAGTTATTAGAAATGTGTTCTTAAAACTATTATGTTTAGAAATGTGCAAAGAAAATCTCTCAATTAAACAGAAATTGGGAAAAAATAATAAAATAAATGCAGTAATAATAATAATAATAATAATTATAATTATAATAATTATAATATATGTAATATTATTATTATTATTGCATTTATTTGTTATAAATACATTATTAAATTTGTTAATATTTATTTTTTATGATTAAAGTTTTTTTTACCAAATTAAAATTATGAGTTAAAATAATTATTCCACAAAATCATTCCTTCCTTCCTTTCTTCCCTCCCTCCTTCATTCCCTCCCTCCTTCCTTCCTTCCTTCCTTCCTTCCTTCCTTCCTTCCTCCCCCTTTCTTTCTTCCTTCCTTCCCCTTCTTTCCTTCCTTGCTTCCTTCTTTCCCTCCCTCCCTTCTTCCCTCCTTCATTCCCTCCTTCCTTCCCTTCCTTTCTTCCTTCCCCTTCTTTCCTTCCTTGCTTCCTTCTTTCCCTCCCTCCCTTCTTCCTTCCTTCCTTCCTCCCCCTTCCTTTCTTCCTTCCTTCCCTTTCTTTCCTTCCTTGCTTCCTTCTTTCCCTCCCTCCCTTCTTTTCTCCTTCCCCCTTCCTTCCTTCCTTCCTTCCTTCCTTCCTTCCTTCCTTCCTTCCTTCATTGCTTCCCTCCTTCCCTCATTCCTCTCTACTTCCTTCCTTCCTTCCTTCTTTCTTGCTTTCCTTCCTTCTCCCTTTCTTTATTCCCCATTCCTTCCTTCCTTCAGTCATTTCCTCCTTCATTCCTCCCTTTTTTCCTTCGCTCCTTCCAGCTGCAACCCATCTCCGGGAAACATCCACACACACACTCATACACTACGAACAATTCAGCCTACCCAATTACCTGTACCACATATCTTTGGACTGTGGGGGAAGCCACACGAACAAAGGGAGAACATGCAAACTCCACACAGAAACGCCAACTGACCCAGCCGAGGCTCGAACCAGCAACCTTCTTGCTGTGAGACAACAGCACTACCTACTGCGCCACTGCGTCACCCTTCTTTCCTTTCTTTCTTTCTTTCTTTCTTTCTTTCTTTCTTTCTTTCTTTCTTTCTTTTTTTTCTTTCTTTCTTTCTTTCTTTCTTTCTTTCTTTCTTTCCCCAGTCTCCAGTGTCCCCCTGATGTGTGTCCCAGTTCCCTTCGATTCTTCTCTAAATTTTTTCTATCTTTTTTGTGAGTTAATTGTTGAAATAATGCCTTAATATTTTTGTAATAAATTGTTGTGAAAAATCTATATTTCTTTGTTTTCTTTTTCATCATTTTTTTTCCTGTTTCCTTTTTTATTTCACCCTCTTTTTATTTTTTTCTACTTCCTTTATCATTAAAATCATTGCCATCTATCATTATTAAAAGTATTTATCCTAATAAAAAAATGAGTCAAAATATAGTCACAAAAAAAAAAAAAAAAAAAAAGAACACACACAAAAGGCATACTTCCCGGGCTGTTTGTTTTGATGGTACAGTTGCTCAGCTTGTACGTGTTTGATGTGTTGCTGCTGTCAGGGTCATTCTGGGTGATGAACTCCTGAATGGACAGCGTCTCTCTGTGATGGACAGCTTGTCGTGCGGAGCTGCTGTTTACCATCATGCAGTTCAGAAGTGTTATGTTGTCAGGAAAGCGTGTCTCCATCATGTGGACACTGCTCTGCTGTTGATCTGATCAGTCATCTGAAGTGTGACTGGAATCTGCTGCTGTGAAATCAGGGATGTAGAATTGTAGTTAGCAGACTGAATGAATATCTGGGAGATGTGTGCTGATAATCCACTGCTTTGTTGAGCTAATGTAAGAGTGTAATGTGATGTACCTCTGTTTCTTTCTTTGTTTCTTTCTTTCTTTCTTTCTTTCTTTCTTTCCATCTGTTTCTTTTTTGTTTATTTTTTTTATTTTTGTTTGTTCGTTCCTTCATTTCTTATTTAATTTTGATTGTTCTTTCTTTGCCCCTTTCTTTATTTTTTACCTTCCTTCCTTCCTTCCTTCCTTCCTTCCTACCTTTTTTCCTTTGTTTTCCTTCCTTCCTTCCTTCCTTCCTTTTTTCCTTACTTCATTCCTTCCTTCCTACCTTTTTACTTTTGATTTTCTTCCTTCCTTACTTCTTTCTTTCCTTCCTTCGTTACTTTCTTTTTCCATCTGTTTCTCTTTTGTTTCCTCTTTTCGTTTGTTCGTTCCTTCCTTCCTTCTATCCTTTCTTTTTTCCTTTTTTCATGTGTTTTCTTTTGTTTCTTTTTTTAATTTCACCCCCTTTTTATTTATTTTTGTTCGTTCATTCGTTTCCTCACTCCTACATTCCTTTGTTCCTTTGTTCCTTTGTTCCTTCCTTCCTTTTTTCCTTTGCATCTGTTTCTCTTTCCTTTACTCTTTTATTTTACCCCTATTTTTATTTGTTTATTCTTTCCTTCCTTACATCTTCCTTCCTTTATTCCTTCCATCTTCCTTCCTTCCTTCCTTCCTTCCTTCCTCCTCTTTCTTTTTCCATCTGTTTCTCCTTGGATTCCCATTTTATTTCACCTCCTTTCTTATTTTTTTATTCTTCTTTTTCCTTTTTTCATTGAGATTCTGTTCTCCATTCCTCTCTCCAAACTCCTTACTTCCTTCCTTCCTTCCTTCCTTCCTTCCTTTCTTCCTTCATTGCTTAATTTCTTTTTTTTACTTTTAAAACTAAATTTTTTTTCTGCTGTAATTCCTATTATTCTTTCAACATTCACTTTTCATCCTTTTCCCCACATTTCTTTTCTTTTCATTTAAAATTTCTTCCTGTCCTCTCTTATGTTAATCTTTTATTTAATCTATTCTTATTTCTTTTCATACATTAATTCTCCTGCCTTTGTATTGCCTTTTTTTCTCTTTCTTCTGATTTCATCAAAATTTTCACGTTATCATTCATCCTCTTTCTTTCTTTCTTTCTTTCTTTCTTTCTTTCTTTCTTTCTTTCTTTCTTTCTTTCTTTCTTTCTTTCTTTCTTTCTTTCTTTCTTTCTTTCTTTCTTTCCCCAGTCTCCAGTGTCCCTCCGATGTGTGTCCCAGTTCCCTTCGATTCTTCTCTAAATTTGAGAGTGGAAACCTGCGAAAAGCCATTCAAGTCCGCAGGTGAGAGTCTGCATTCCTATACAGTGCACGTACACACACACGTATACACACACACACACACACACACACACACACACACACACACACACACACACACACACACAGCAGCTCACCGAGTGCCCTTGGGCCTCATTTGTAGTGCATTGGCAATCACACTCTCTCTCTCTCATTCTTCTGTTTCCACACTTTCAGTAAGCTTGTCTCCTCGATCAAATCAAAGATGTGTCTGCGGAGCTGTTTCGATGTGCCTAAATAAAAATGCAGACGTATTTTTCCCCCCAAATAAAACGTGGCGGCGTAACAGCAGATCTCTCTCTGTCGTTTACATAACACATTTCTCAGTCTTCCTCTCTCCTCTTCTCTCCAACACCCACTTTGTCTGATTTTCTCCTCTCTGTCTCTCTCTTAGTCATGAATATGATTTGATTCTCAATGCCGACGTCAACTCCTCTGCACACTGCCAGTGGTTTTATTTTGAGGTCAGCGGCATGATGGCCAACGTCCCTTATCGATTCAACATCATCAATTGTGAGAAAGGAAACAGCCAGTGTAACTACGGTAAGCATTAGCCTAGATATTTACTCAAATAGGACATTCAATGCACTAAAAAAAAATCAATCATTGAATTTACTTTTTTTATACAGGCGGAATTTAAACAAACAAATTAAACTTAGTAATGTTAAACATAATTTGTTTGTTTAAATTCAGACCATATACATTGTTTGCAACCACTTACCTTTAAAAAATTGTTAATTAAATTAAACTTTTTTTAGTATGTAAGGGATAAAGTACATTCAGGTGGTTGTTATGGCAGAATAAAGGCCAACAGTCTTATTTGCATACGAAAAGGTTTTTTTTTTCTGCAAACACAGCCATCTGGATGTACTTTATCCTGCTTATTACTTGGCTATTTGCCACAAAACAAAAAAATTGGCACAAAACATTGTTATGGATAGTTTTTTAATTGTTTAATTAAATGCAAAGCTGACAGACATGAAAATGGCTGAATGGAGCATACACTAACCTGCATATTATCCAGTCACAAGATGGCGCCAAATAGAAGTTGTTATCTAGAAATAACGTACATTGGAATGTCAGGAGTGATCAATCAGAATCAGTATTCCAGACAGCCATGCAATATGGTATTTTATGAATAAAAGCTTATACACACCAGGATGTTTTTTGCTCACATTTATTGTCAGCATTTTTCATGACATTTTTTCTGCATTCAAACCCAGGCAATTTTCATCGATATTGAGTGAAAACACAAAATCACCCCCTGACATTAGATGGTGCTTAATGAGCTTGCAAGTCTTGAAAGAAAAGGGAAATTAAACTCACCATCAAATCCTATTCGCTACTCTCCACTACTACTGACATTATTGTAGTTGCAGTTATCATACAGCTCTTTGTGTTCAGACACCAATGTAAAAAGCAGCTCTACTCTGATCTTGCCTCGGTCTTCAAATACTTAATAAATAACCTACTATAAATTAAAAGCATAAATGTATGCTTGTATGATTTTTTGTTTTTTCAAGCTTCGATGATGTAAAGTAAATTCCACTTTTAAATAATAGGTCACCTATAGCTTTCGCCACGGCTGTGTTCAAATTACTATCGATGTTTTCAAAGTATACTACGAAGGTAGCGCATATGTAAACATGAAGATCGCTAAAACTCAACTTTAAAAATGCTTTGAAAGCAAATTACACCTTAGAATGTTCTAAACGAATAAGGTATACAGGGGGATAACTGACAATAGAACACAACCAGGAACTATGTTTCTAACTACAGCTCTAGAGGTGTAGTTGCAAACACAGAAGTTTTTGATGCAGTTTGCGAATATTTGTTGGACTGATGGATTTGGAAAACGGCAAATCAGCAAACTTTGTTTGTAACAACACAACTTGCGACCTTAGTTGGCTAACGATGGTTTTTGGAAACGCACCCCTTATTGGTTTGAAAGTTTTTGATGCGGTGTGCAAAAAAAAAAAAAATAGGCGTTTCTTTAAAAATGCCGCTTTTAAGACTGACGTTTTACACATTGGTGTGCTTAATTACATTAGCGCCCTTTGTTTAGTCATGAGGTAATAAATGTTGACAAAAAACCCGAGCAAAAAGCGTCCCAGTGTGAATGGGTCTTTAGGGTCCAGGAATAAACAAAAAAATAAATATAATATATAAAATATAATAAATAGAGTTTCTACTACATGTTATTTTGGAATTTTAGGTTGTGTTTTGTTATTATAAATTATAGATAATTACAGCTAATATATTCAAACATTTAAAGTGCATATTTGTAATTTCAGTGGTAGAAAAAATGTAAACAGCAGTATTTTGAAATATATGTTGCATATATGACATATAGAGCTTCTGTATAGTTCTAATCATATGTATGGATACTAATTGCATTATGGACTTTTTTTTGTTGCAAATTCAACTCATTTAACTCTATGCAGTTTGTCAAAATGAGTTTATTGACTTATACTTTGTATAAGTATTGGATTATATTTAAATTGTATAATAAATAAGATAAATAATAGTATTGAACTAAAAGAAAAAGTACTAGCAGTTTATTAGCAGGTTTTTGTATGATAATTAACAACACCAACCCATAAAAAAGTATCACTTCAAACTATTATAAAAATGTCAACATTAAACTTTTCAACATTAAAAGTTGTTGGAGGAAAGATCAGTGTCCCATAATGCAGTTTAAAATCATAAATAAACTGAAACAACTAATGCAAATCACAACTGGAAAAAAATTAACAGGTTAATTTTAGTGTAAACAGTTTAAGGTGCTCATTTTTAATATTTAGTTTTGTTGCATCTTTTTTTGTAAATATTTCTGTATTCACCACCAGTGCATACACGGTTGTATTTCTTACATGTGTTGGCGAGGGTTAAAAGATCTGTTTTTATCACCGCCGACCAAAATCATAAGATGCCCGATTGTTCTATTGGCTATGATTTTGTCTGAAAAGGAACACAGCATCGCCAGCTTACCCAGATTCAGAAGACGCTTTGGTGTTCGCAGCTAAATCATATCATTGCTTCCCAGCGGTGGGCCGAGCAGCTCTTAAATCTGACACCCGCCGTATATCCCACAAAAATACAGTTCTCCGATCCTCCCCCGATAAAGCCTTTCCAATGGCCCTTGACTGGCTTTTCTTCATTTTGCTGTGCAGCTGGGCATTATAAGAGACTCGCGCTGGCCCCGACTCAGTGTTTTATGCCTCTGTATTAAATGAGATGTCCTTTACTGTTGACCTTATTTGAGTTTGAGTAAAACTCACTCCCAACACTCTTGTACTTTGAGGGAATGCATTTCAGGGCACTCTGTCAACTTCTGTTCCTCAATGGAGACGGTGTTTTGGAAAAATGCCATCTTTGGCATATTGGCTTTGAGAAAGAGAGTCCCTGCCTTTCTTTGAAAGACTAAAAAGATATTTGCGATCAATTTTTAACAGCAAAATTTATTTATTAATTCATTTATTTATTTGATTGTTCCTTTACTTATTGTTGTACTCACTAATTTACGGAATTTGGCGCTTAAAAGATCGTTCTGTTTGTCTATCTATCTATCTATCTATCTATCTATCTATCTATCTATCTATCTATCTATCTATCTATCTATCTATCTATCTATCTATCTATCTATCTATCTATCTATCTATCTATCTATCTATCTATCTATCCATGTGATTTTTGCTTTTACTGTTCACTAATAATGTAAAATAGTTAAAATGATTTAAAAGCAATTTCAAGTGTTTACACAGCTGATGACTGGTGATAAGCTAGTTTGTCATGCTGTCCCAGGAGAGAGCCCTGAGCTCATGAGATTCTCGAGCCCGGGGCTCCCTCCCCTTTGTATGGTGGTCCGATGGAGGCTCGTCCCCGGCGGTGGGTGCAGGGGCGGCGTTCTGTGAAGGCCAGCGGCCCTGTGTTTAAAGCCGCGGACTTGTTGGTGTGCTCTGCTGAGTGGTAGTGCGCTGGATGTCGGGTAGGGGAAGCGAGAGGAGCCGTGTAGTTAAGGTTGTTATCTTTGGTTATTTATACTGAGTTAGGAATCGTCTGATTGGTGGTTCGTACATTAGCTTGACTCAGGGCCAGCCGTGTCAATCACAAGCACGTGATGCTCTTGAAATTAGTTTATATATAAACTTCACTTAATGTGTTCTTTTAGGATAAAATTAAATAAATAAGTTATAAATTTATAAATATATTTTTTTATTTAAATAAAAAAATTAAATAAAAAATAAAAACCCAGAGGATTTGCTTTAAAATGGATCTGAATATAAGGCCTCGTTTACAATGTCAGGTCTTGATGCTCAATTCTGCTTTGTTGCCTATATCTGATTTATTTGCCTCTCCGTTTACATGTTCTTTTAATTGTGACCCATATCTGATTCATGTCTTAACACTTGCCATACAATTTACGACATTTACGGTTCTAGCATCTGCGCTACACTAGCCATGATGAAAGAAATTGTCTTGCTTTTTGCTCTGAAAAATATGCAAAGTTCGGCCAATTTTAAAATTATTTTAAGGCGTTGGAGGAGGGAAACGGCCGTCATCGCAGCTTGCGCCTATGGTTTGTAAATGTTGTCCTCCACCATTCGGCGAGATCTCAGGTCTGGTGGGAGCAAATTTTTACGACTGACCACTTTCCTCCTCCATGTTTCCTCTGTTGTTGTTGTTGTTGTTTACCTCATTGGTGTCTCCACACATGCTCTTTCTACATCATTAAACTGTAGAGAAATACCACATTGTCGCAAGTTTAATGACATACAAAACGTAATACCTCAATAAATGTGGTCTGCCTATTTACATGATAGTCGCATTGATATACGATTTAAATCTAATTTATTTTCACATATGAAGGAGGCCTGAAACGGATCTCTGAATATCTGAATTTAGACGATCATAGAATAGATCCGATCTCTGTCACACATGAGCACACAGGGCAGCTTTTTTTATTTTTATTTTTCGTTAAATTTAGCTAAATATTAAAACTATTTTACTCTTGTGACATAAAGGAGAAATTATTGTATAATGCTGAATAAGGGCTTACATTTTTAAAATTTAATAATTAAAAAAAATACTGTTTATTAAATAATCACGACTAATCTTTTACAAAATAAAAGTTTGTAATTTAAAAATAGATTTGTATGTATTATGTATTGTATATATAAATGCACATATATTTTGTAAATACAACTTTTATTTTGTATGAGATTAGTCACGATTTATAATTAAACAGTAGTAAAATATACCATTTAACTAATTCGGCCTTTAAAAAAAGTATGATGTATATATAAATTCTTGCAATTATATATCATTTGTTTTATATAAATGTAAATAAGCATTTAAATCTATGTTTATTTAAATGTATGCAACAGTTCTGTCTGGTTGTATAATCTTATTGGCTGATAGCTGTGCAATATTAAAGCAATATCAGCACTCGTACAGCCTTTTCACTCTTGTGTATTACTCCGCCCACACTAGGACTAAAGAGGGACTAAACAACTCACTACAGTGACAAATATTGCTGCTGTTTCACAACATAATGTACTTTTGAGGCTTTTTATGTGAGAATGTGAGATTGCAATTATACAGTTTATCTATAAGGATAAAGCCTATTTGATATTTTGTTTTCATAAAATTATAGCTTGTTGGCAACAATATTTCCCGCCGTGAGCACTCCTCTGATGGCTACTTATACTAAAGTATGGTGGGTTTCTTTATTTCAGTCTACTAAAAAAAGGTATTGGTTTAGGCTATATCTTGGTCACAGTCATCTATTATTTACTCCAGAGCAAATAGATTTAACTTCAATGTTAAGTTTAGCTTAATGCTGAATAAAACCTTGGTCATTATTCTTTTGACTGATTTACATATTTTAATATTGTTGCTTGTTAAATGTAATTAATCGATAAATTAATTTAATATAAAATGCAGTAATATTTAATAAAAAAAATTTTGTACAACAAATTTTGGGGAAATTTAATACAAGGAAATTGACTTTACATTGTACCACAAGATGACGACAGAGAAGGAATAATAAGCCTGGGGGATAAAAACGGTTTTCTCATCGTAATGTTAACTTTAAAACTAAAGCTGAACAAATTATTACAGAACAGGTAAGTGACATTCTAGGTTGATCTCTCCCTTTTGTATTTTATATTGCTGTATTTATATAACCTTGTAGTGTTTGCTTTACTTTGGATTTTTCTGGTTTATTTTTTTGTGAAACTGTGAGAAATACTGAAGGAATACTGTGTTATAATCTTAAAATGTGAGCAAAATCATGTTTTATAATCACATAGACATTACAAGGCTCTACATTTTGCTGGATAATCATTCAGATACTAGTTCTAAAGTGATGTTTGTGAAGTAGCATTGGTTTCCACTGTGCTGATGGTCAGCTGCAGATGTGAATGAATGGTGGATAAAAGCAGCTCCTCGTACAAAATGGTTGTTGAGAATCTCCGTGTTTGATTGTCTTTTTTATACACACAATTATGCCTTCAAACTGTTGTTTAAACACATTATTACACTCATAGCAGTATACTATATACAGCCATATTGCACTGCTATGAGTGTGATATGGCTCATATAAATAACACATATACAAAGTATATACAAAATTATTATGTAAGCACAAATATGTTTACCTACAGAGCCTGCCCAGGGTGTACCCATAAATAACTTGATGAGCAGTTTAGCACTGTCACACTATAAAAGTCCACTCTTTAAATGCTGCTGATTGCTAAAGCTAACAACCGCATGTTTAGCAATTACAGAATGACCTTTAAGTGAGTGAATGTTTGACATGGCTGGTGACCGTAGGGTTGTGGGCTGTTTTTTCAATCAGGCATGCAGCCTGTGCTGTATTCAGTGAGGGAGGCTCTGGAGGGAAGACCACACTGGCTGCGAACAGGCTCTGAGATCTGCTACTACAGGTACGTTTAACCTCACATTTCTGCACTTCACCTCACTTTATTATACCTTTTTTTATGTAGTCTGTTCAATATGTTAAATTTGCAACTGTGCTTTTGCCTTCCTCAGAAATAATTTTTGCCCTAGAAGAGGTCAAAAGCATCCTTTCTACACGCTGACCTTCACGGTGACCTTTCGCCATGAAGATGACGTGTGCTATTTGGCCTATCACTACCCTTACACCTACACAACTCTTCAGGTGCTTAATATAACACACTTTATATGAATCATGTTTTACAGAAGCACTGAATCCAAAATTTTATCTGACATTTAAAACGTAGATAAAAAAATGTTGGTTTTACTTCTAGGAACACCTTTTGGGGGAAATTAATTTTGTCCTATAGTTTGTTTGTTTTTGTCTTTGTTTTTGTTTGTTTACCCACTTTTGAACTTGTTCCCATGCCAGAAAATGGGAATGATTTAAGCTCTAGAAATGCCATTTGGGAAAACCGCATAGTTCCTAAAGGGCCTTTCACATCTGAGAAACTTTTTTATAGTTTCTAAAACTATTGGTGGAAGTGTCCTCTTTACAGAAACTGGGAAGAATTTTAACTCCACAAACCATATTTGAGGGGAACTAAATTAGCTCCTTTCACAACAAAGGATTTTTTTTCAGTTCCTACTGTTTTTAGAGGAAAGTGTTTTGATTTTCCATCACAAGACATGTGAATGATTTTAGTTCTAGGAATGCCACTTTTGGGAAACCCAATTAGCTTCTACATCGGAGGAACTTTTTTATTAGTTCCTAGAACTATTGGCAATAGTCCCCTTTTCCCAAGAACTGGGAAGGATTTTACCTCCACAATCTCTTTTTGGAGGGAACTAAATTAAATCCCATTAGGTTTTTCACGCTAGAGGAACATTTTCATTGTTCCTATAACTAGTAGTGGAAGTGTCCTCTTCCCAGAAATTGGGAAGGATTTTAACTCTACAAACCCCTTTTTGGGGAAACTAAATTAGCTTCTATAGGGAATTTCACAACAGAGGATTCTTTACACAGCTCCTACATTTTTTGGAGGAAAGTACATGCACTTGAACTTCCATCACAGAAAATGTGAATGATTTTAGTTCTAGGAATGCCACTTTCGGGAAACCCAATTAGTTTCTACATCAGAGGAACTTTTTTTTATATATAGTTCCTAGAACTATTGGCAGAAGTCCCCTCTTACCAAGAACTGGGAAGGATTTCAACTTTACAATCTCCTTTTAGAGAGCACTAAATAAAATCCTACTAGTTTTTTTTACACTAGAAGAACATTTCCATAGTTCCTAGAATTATAAGTGGAACTACTCACTTTCAGTTTGAACTGAAGAAACTGCAGACAATTTAGTTTTAGGAAGGCCCTTTAGGGTGTAATAAATTAAATCTTATTGGGGCTTTCACACTAAAATGTTTTCACAGTTCCAGTCATCGACAAAAGCAATTTTTGGTGTTACAATGTTAGTTATTAAAAATTATATTTAAGGGAACTAAATTAGGTCCTACTTCAGGTTAGGGTATTATCCAGCACATTAGGAACTACAGTGATGTAAATGCGTGCTGAATAGGACAAATGACTGTTACATGAAACACTGTATTTTACAGTGCTTTCCTCTGATTTCATTTGACAGCTCATGTGTTTTAGAGCCAACAAATTTAGGTAGCTATTAGTTTCGCTACCCAACCTTAGGTATCATTACCAAACATTTATTAAATATTTTTCCAATCAATTTCTAGACTCATCTGAAGATGTTGGAGAAATCAGTAGACCCCCGGAAAGTTTTCTTCAGGCACCAAAACCTCTGCGACACACTGGGGGGAAACTCCTGCTCCTTAGTCACGATCACAGCCTGCCCCACTTCCAGAGCCTGGAAACATCTGCACCAGCTGCGTAAGTATCACACCAAAGCTCGCAATGAGTCAGATTTATGCTCTTGTGTATCAACACTCACACCTGTGTGCTGAGTGTTTGTGTTTATGAGTGTGTGTGCATGCATACAGTCTGGCAGCTCTTCAAGGCATTTGGAGGATCTGAGCTTTGATTCGTCTTGTCAGAGGAGGAGTTTTGGAGCTGGGATGTGGGTGGGTGAGTGGGTGGATGGGGGGAGGACACCGGAAGATGGGGTGACGATGTTTGACTCACTGTTTGAACTTTTCATCCACTGGCATAACATGTTTAAAAGAAGAAGGAAGGCACATATAGATAAAGAGGAAATCAGGTTCTTGTTGGAATCATTCTATGGGCTTTATTTTAAAGACCTAGGCTCATGAGTTATGGGTAAGTTTTGGGCATAACTTGCATTAAACCAATCAGTTTCATCTCTTATTCCCTTTAAGAGTCAGTTGCTTCGAGCCATGGCACAGTTGCTATTTACATAGTGGACTTGTAAGTGGAAAAACTGAACACTTCACCAGCAGGAAAACAGTTAAACAGACCCACTGCAGCGAGAGAATAAAGAACAAGCCTCTTTCATTTGGCCTGTTTACTCTCTTTTTACTTTACCTTTACTCTTTACTCCTTTACTTTGGTGGATAAGGAAACGGTGTTGTACGCACTCTACTGAAGACATCCATTAGCCTACATATTTAATTTTGTTAGTTAATCACAAAGATTTACTATATATATATAGTTAATCACAACTCTTTCTAAATTCAGTTCTAATTTCCAGCAATTGAACAATAATAACGAAGTGTGAGTTATATCTGGACACACATTCTATTCATTTGCCCCATATGGTGATGCATGCACATCCCAACCTGACTTCATCAAATAGGACATGTTCCTGGATTAACATCTATGTTGATTTTGGAACAACATTCCAATCAGCCAGCTAGAACTAAGCAATATGTTTACTGTTTATGTTAAGTTTAGGCTTGTGATTAGGTTTATGCACTTCAACATGATTGCTACTGTCCAACTATTATTCCCCTTTGATTTTGGGAATAATTTACAGTTTTGGTTGGATTTTGGGTATAGGGAATAGGTATTAATTACATTTTCGAACACAATTATGTTCCAGGATCAACATAGATGTCACATCATACTTGCGAAATCATGACGCGCATGATGCATGTCTCAAAAACCTGACTGGTGGACAAATCTAAACTTGTTTTTATTGAAACAAATATGGACATAAAAATACTACTGATAAAAATAACATTATACAACTGCAAATTGTCATGAATAAATTGAAAAAAAGCTATTATTTGCTATATAAACAACGTGGCGCAAAAACGTAAAACTTACTGTTGCACTGGTCTGAAAATAGCAACAAAATCAAACCATAAATGTCCTATTGTGTCTTATTGTGCTGGGTGTGTGATGGGGCCCCTTCTTTTTAGTCCAGGGATGTTTCTCAATATGCATTTTTCAGCTATCTTGTGTCCTTGTGCTCTTGTGTAACAATATCATCAATTGCCAAAGTTCAGTTCCAAAAGTCAAGACTGCACAAACAAAGGAAAATTGAAAGTTCCAGGATGCGTTCTTGGAATCGATGATGCACTGATGCAGACTTGAGCTCAATACTCGCTCTAGAAGTCCTAGAAGTCATTGCGACTGGAAATATGAGGCGCAGCATTGTTTTTATAGATTTATTATTGAAGTTCAGAGATATAACTCAGGAGTTTCCCTAAATGAGACGATGAAAGTAAACATTACCATGAAAACTTTAATAAAGGCATAAACACATTAAGGGTGTTTATTTGCCGAAATTTGTATTAAAATCTGTTTTTTTTGTCTTTATGCATATTATATATTGTGTAAAGGGGAAAACACAATAAATCGTTGCATGAATGCTGTCATGTTTAAATCATTTTCGGTTAAAAACAGGCAAAGGTCGTGTGACCATCAGCAAAAACGCAACATCTCATTACTTACAGGATGTGTTCTGTGTTCTCGCAGTCTCCCAAGTTCGAGTTCTTGGAATTGAAAACAGCCTAGAACAACCATGAGTCCACCAAGTGGCGCAAATGGATTTGCTATTTAAGCAATGTGACACAAAACATGAAAACTAGTGTTGCTCTGGTCTGAAAATATAAACAAATCACGCCATACACCTTATTGCGCCGGGTGTATGATGGGGCCAATATTTTTTCGTGTCAACCCCACTCCCTTTTTTATTTATATTGATTATTCTATTATCTAAGTATGATGGTTAGAACAGCAGGAACCGTTGCTACTTTACCAATGTCACTTTAGATATAGTATTTGAATAATTCTTTAGTGTAATGTCTAAAGTGATGACAACACAGGTGATTTTTCTCACATTTTAAGATTATAAGGCTGAAAGGCATGAAATGCCATCAGTCTACAGACATTTCCCACTATCTCTCTGTTGCAATGAGGAGATCACAATAATTAACCCAGAAAAAGCCAAAGCAGCGCAAACACTACCAGATTACTGTTGTGTTTGCGATAAGAAAAACATTAAACGCATGCGGGCATTTCTTCTTTCTTTCTTTTTACTGATTTCTTCTGCAGTAGCGAAAACAGGAGACACATTAGAAACAAACAGATGGCCAACCAAAAAGAGTCCCATCTCAAACTCAATACAGTATGGTATAAATACAGCACTACACCATACGAAGGAGAAAGACTGACTTTCACCATTTAATTAATGATTTGATCAGCAGTAGTTAGAAATTGCGCTATTTTCTCCTGTTAGGGCTTATTATGCTATCTCTGTTGCTATTTTGTGCATGGACAACGTCAACTGTCTTTGCTCAATGACAGGCTAATGGCTGCCAACACGCTGTCTCTGAAATTATAAATATTTTAAAATAGGCACTATCCTTAAAAATAAACTGCATAGTTGAAATCTAAGCAACTACATTCTCGACTAAAAAGCCTCAAAAGTACATTATGTTGTCCAACAGCTGAAATATGTGTCAAACTGTGGTAAGTTTTTTTTATATCTGGTATCACTCTATATGGGCAGAGTAATACACAAGAGTGAAAAGGACATATGAGTTCTGATATTTTTATAGTTTCTATAATTTTTTATATTCTTAGAAAAATATATAAATTAACATAAAATATACTTGTAATTTATTTTTAATACTGTATTCAAGGCATACAGAGCATAGTAATTATGCAATGTTGTTTTATTTATTTAAAAAAAAACTTCAGTTACCTAAACTAAACACATAAATACATTCGTCTCTCGATCATATATGACATGATGAACATATATTTATGAATTTATTTATTTTTCTTATTTCTTAATTTAACTATTATCCTTTTTTTTCTTTTTCCCTCGTGTTGCATAAATTCATTAGTAAAAAGTTTCCAAACTTCGTAATCTGATAACTTAACCACCACGTGGGGCAGTAATATATGTGCACTGATGCCATGAAGGACGCTCTATCATTTTCACCTTGGCCCACTTTTCAGCATTCACAATCATATTAATCCCAACCGAAGCGTCTTCCGTAAGCAGCGACTCATGGGTCACCCCGTCTTCAGTCAGCACTCGCATTAGTCCTGGCAGGTGTGACTGTCAGCTGCAGGTGAAACAGCAGAGATGGATGTCTGAGACTGAAGGGAGATCCAGAGGGACACACTGAGACATGCTGACCCAGCCGAGGGCCTCCTCCGCTGGGTAGAGCTGCGTTCAGCACACCCTGATGAATATGGAGGCGAGACATCTGCAGCAAACTCCCCATAGGCTCACACTGAGCATCTGGACTCGGCTGGACGTCCCGTTTTCGATCAAGCGTTGCTCTGACATACTGCAAAGTGACCTGCTGACTATTCCCAATGACTGCCGTACATGGTGACCCGCTCGCTAACTCTAGACTGCTGTCATTGATCAAAGGCTGTTGTTAGCATGAGTATGTTAGCTTTGTTTGTGTTATAATCACAGATTTTTTTAACCGTTTTTTTCTAATTATCTGTGAGTTTTTAGCTTTTTTTATTTGGCAGAGGTGGGTAGAGTATCTGAAATCTATACTCAAGTAAAAAATACAAGTACTTTTTTACTCCAGTAAATGTAAAATAAACTTAAAATTTATTTGAGTAAGAGTAACAGAGTATCTGATGAAAAAATTACTATATATATATATATATACTGTATATTAGTGCATTCAAAATTAGTGTGTTAACGCATGCGATTAATTTGAAATAATTAACACGTTAAAAATTAACGCAATTAACGCAGTTGCAGTTTTTTTTCTGTTGTGGTTGATGTGTGGAAAAGGAAGCACTTTTTGAAGCCAAGTTTCAGTATAAAGCAATTAATGTCGCATTACCAGGCTCTCCAGCGTTTCCTCCAGAGTTTCATGCAATTTCGGGTGTTTAATTTTTAATATTCGACTTCTGTTTTAATGGAATTTGATACCGCATGGCGAACAGAAAAAAAAAAAAACTCCACATTTTGTGACTCTGTGGTCCTTTAAGGTAATCAAAAATCACTGCTGACATAGTAGACTCTTAATAAGAGTATTATCTTAATTATGTTAAAATCGGAGTATTGGTGTCCATGTAAATGAAGTGCTAGATGAAATCGCGAGCTGTTAAAGACAGCGCATTCCTCTGCCTTTTAGCATGTGCCCTCCAATGTTTCATTAAGTTTGATTTGTTTCCCCCTTAAACGCAAGTGTCTGCTTCGCGTTTTTGTGTCAGAATCTTTGTGAAGTACAGCCATACTTTCGAACGTTTAGTTTTAGCAAATTTGATGACCATGCGGGTTGAATCTGAAGGGAGTTGCACCGGCTGCCCTGTCCTGCTCGAGTTGTTTGTGTGTGTGTGTGTGTCTGTGTGTGTGAGGTGTGAGTGTGTGTGTCTGTGTGTGCACGCCTACACGCGTTTCTTAGCAACAACCCTGCCTAAACGTTCTTATCTATGGTCCGTAGCCACTAAATCAAAAAGTTATGAATTGCCGAGAGATTATG